GGAGGCGGAGGTTGCAGTGAGCCGAGACTGTGCCATTATATTCCAGCCTGGGGACAGAGTGAGACTCTGTCTCAAAAAACGAAACAAAACAAAACAAAAAGAAAAAAAGAAGAAAAAGAAGAGACTCTGTAATCTTCCTCCCCAAAGATCCACTAGAACAAGCAAGACCATTGCCAACTGTGTTGAAGGGATGGAGAATCTGAAATAGAGTTTAACTTGTATTTGTGTCCCGCCTTGTGCCTGGAAGAATTTAAACAGACAGAGATTAAAGAATTTACTTAATAGTAAACCTAAGACAGAGCTGGAATGGACTTCTAAGATTGTGTTTTTGAAGCAAATAAGTTTTTGTTCTTTTAACCACAAGTGAACCATTTATAAGAAGATGAATTCGTTACCATAAAATAGTATTAAACAGACAGTGATTTCTATCCTTCGTGACTCTAAATAACTAGGATTAGAAGGAATCTTGCATAATGCCTGCATCCAGGACAAGGTATGTCTTCACTATCCGAATAGTAAGAAGTTTGTTCTTTCCATTTATTAAATGTATCTGGGTGCAATTTTCAAAATCTCCCTTCAGTCCAAACATCACCTGGTATTTTTTAAATTTTAATTTAATTAGTTAATTAATCAATGTATTTATTTATTTATTTTTTAGAGAGAGGGTCTTGCTGTGTTGCCCAGGCTGAAGTGCAGTGGCGTGATCATAGCTCACTGCAGCCTCAAACTCCTGGGTTCAAGTGATCCTCCTGCCTCAGCCTCTGGAATAGCTGGGACCACAGCCATTGCTACTCACCTGGAATTTTTAAAAGATCTCTTCTGATGACATGTGGACCCATGTCTGCAGCTTGTCCTCTTGTGTTAGCAGAGATGACGCTCATTCACGATGGATCGTGCTTTTAGGAATAGGCACGGATCCCCCAGGGGACACCCGAAGGCCTCTTGCGTGTTGGCTTCTATGAGAACCCTGTTTTTCCCAGGCATGGTGACTCACACCTCACCACTTTGGGAGGCCGAGGCGGGTGGATCATGAGCTCGAGAGATCGAGAGTCCCTACGAACATGGTGAAACCCTGTCTCTACTAAAAATACAAAAATTAGCCGGGTGTGGTGGCATGCACCTATGGTCCCAGCGACTTGGGAGGCTAAGGCAGGAGAATTGCTTGAACCCGGGGGGCGGAGGTTGCAGTGAGCTGAGATCATGCCACTGCACTCCAGCCTGGGGACAGAGCAAGACTCCATCTCAAAATAAAATTAAAAAAAAAAAAAAAGGAAATAAAGAACCCTGTTTTCCTTTTCAGCGAGGCCCCACAGGTGCTCCTTATCTTTCTTTCCCTAGGCACAGGTGTTTGGTTTTCCTGCCTATTCCTGATCCCCCACTCTCCCCTAGACTTGCTAACTCCTCCCCACTGGCTTCCCGGCCAGGAGTTGTCAGGCAGGGACCTGAGCTCCCTCCCCTTGGCTTCCACTCCAGATAGCCCCTGTCCTTGTCCGAGAGGATAAAGACGAGGAGGATGGCTTGTTGGAAACTCTTCTTATGGCCCCCAAGAGTGAGTGTGGCCTTCTAAAGTCAGACACTTAGTCCCCTTGCCAATCAGGCAGTCTGCAGGGGTGAGTGGAGTGGTTGCCTGCAGTTTGCAGCGGTGAGTGGGGCTGGGTGGCTCCAGTCTGTGAAGGTTAATGGAAGCTGTTGTCCCCTCTGGAATGAGGGCAGGAGTCCATCCACATGGCTCTCCTCCCAGTGGGAATGGAGCAACCGGGAGGGGCCTGGGCCGCCTTCTCTGGTGCAGGCAAGGACAAGTTGCAGCTGAGGCCTTACAAGGTCATAAGGAGCCTGTAGCTGCTGAGCTGAGGGAAGGAGGGTGGAGAGATGGAACAGCTCTTCCTAAAGCGGCATATCCATCGCTGAGGGAAAAAAAATACCGGCTTAAGAGCCAGGCGGGTCCCTCTGGAGGTTCTTGACACACTGCAAAGGATCCCTGAGGATGCCAGCAGCTAAGGCAGTAGCCCCGCCACGGGTCCCCTCCCAGCAGGCCCCCATGCAGCCCCACCACGCTGGGCCCAGCCCTCTGTAGCACGGAGTCTCGCAGGAGGGCCTGAGAACCGGGCCCAGCACTGCCCCACCCTGGCCACTGTGTGCTGCTGTCCCTCCCATCCCAGCCAGCACCTCAGACCTTCCTGGGTCGGGACACCTGAATTGTGAGCACCCATCTGATGCTCACACAGGGTATGCTGGCTCTAAGTGAGAGGAGGGGCAGGGTGCCCAGGATGAACCAGGATGAGAAGGGCCCAGCGCCCTGGCGGAGCTGTGCAGGGCAGTTCTCTGTTTTATTGATCATCACTGCAGCTTGTCCATCAGGCAGCTCAGAGCTTCCTGCATGTCCTCATTCTCAGTAGTGTCTGTCTGAGGTTCTCAAGGGCTGGGCTGCATCTCTCATGCTTTGCACTCACCAAAAAAACCCTCTCTGTCTCTTTCTCTCCCCTCCCAGCCTCTGTTTTCCTCCCCACCCCCATTTTCCTCTTTCCCCTACTCTTTCTGTTTCTCTCGTTCTCTCTGTCCCTCTCTTCAGTATTCTCTCTGTCTCTGACTCCTCTGTCTCTGTCCTTCTCTGTCTCTGTCTTATTTGTTTAATAATACAGCAGATATTTACTAAAAGCCTACAGTGTACATAATGCCACCACGTTGGGAGCAGGGGGCAGGGCAAGGGGATGGCTGTTTTCAGAACTCCCTGTCCGGTGTGACAGATGGATCATTTATTCACTGCTCACTTATTCAGGACATATTTGTCCAGCATCTCCTATGCACCAGGCACTGCTGGGTATTAAATATAGAATAATAAATATACAATAATAAAACAGAAAAAGTGGCCAGGTGTGGTGGCTTATGCCTGTGATCCCAGCACTTTGGGAAGCTGAGGCAGGCAGTTCATGAGGTCAAGAGATTAAGACCATCCTGGAGAACATAGTGAAACTTATCTCTACTAAAAATACAAAAATTAACTGGCTGTCGTGGCAGGCACCTGCAGTCCCAGCTACTTGGGAGGCTGAGGCAGGAGAACTGCTTGAACCCAGGAGGCAGAGGTTGCAGTGAGGCAAGATTGCACCACTGTCCTCCAGCCATGTAAACATAATAATAAAAAAATAAAACAGAAAAAGCTCCTGCACACGGAAGCATAGAATGGAGATGGACAGACCAGTCAATGCACACAGAGGGGACATTCTGTCTATCAACATGAAAGGAGAGAGCAGGGGCCCATGCTCTGGGGAGTGGAGGGCAGGGCTGGGAGGCAGGGAAGGAATCTCTTGGAAGATCAGGGCCCCACGGAGAGTTGGGGATGAACCCAGCCTCAAGAGTGACAGCTGGCCCTGAAGCCTGTACTCTTCACCTTCGTAAGATGCAAGATGTCCTTTCATGGTAATTATGCAGTGACAGTCCCTAACCTCCTACGCTGAGCCTCTTTAAGCGTCTAACAGCAGTGCCGCTTGGGAGGACAGTGTTCACTCACAGTATCTGAGGATTACTATAGAAACCTTTTCTAGGCCCCTAGAGCAGGCGTCCCCAAACTACGGCCCACGGGCCACATGCGGCCCCCTGAGTCCATTTTTCCGACCCCCTGCCGCACTTCAGGAAGGGGCACCTCTTTCATTGGTGGTCAGTGAGAGGAGCACAGTATGTGGCGGCCCTCCAGCGGTCTGAGGGACAGTGAACTGGCCCCCTGTGTAAAAAGTTTGGGGACACCTGCCCTAGAGTATTTCTGGTTTTAGGTCATATGGCTTCCTTCTTCTTTCCACGCATCACAGCTGCCTTCAGTGCACACTTGTTACCACTTAGCATCCTCGATCTCACCTGTATCACTTCCTGGCTTTGCTCAAACCACCTTCCTTCTCTTCAGAATGCCCTCCCAAGCCGGGTGCGATGGCTCATGCCGATAGTCCTAAAGCTTTGAGAGGACAAGACAGGTGGATTGTCTGAGCTCAGGAGTTTGAGACCACTCTGGCAACATGGTAAAACCCTGACTCTACTAAAATACAAAAATTAGCTGGACGTGGTGGTGCACACCTGTAATCCCAGCTACCCAGGAAGCTGAGGCAGGAGAATCGCTTGAACCCAGGAAGCAGAAGTTGTAGTGAGCTGAGATCGAGCCACTGTACTCTAGCCTGGGCGACAGAGTGAGAATCTGTCTCCAAAAAAAAAAAAAAAAAAAGAAAAGAAAAGAAAAATTAAAAAAAGAATGTCCTTCCAATTCTTTCAAGCTATTTTTTAAACACCCTCAAATTCCTCTTCCTCTGTAAAGCCTCACATCAACCCAGTCCACAGTAATTTCATAATCTTTTCAATTCCCATGGTATTTATTATTTGACCCATCAATTTTATAATTCATTAAACATTCACCTGCCTCACCTTGGCCTAGCACCCCCTGCGTGTCATTAGGTGATAGAGGAAGGAGACTCCCCTGCAAAGAGCTCACAACCTCGGAAGGGAAGGAGACAAAAGAATCATCATCATGGTGTGATGTGTGCTTTATAATAGGAATGTGTCGAGGGCTTTGCCAGCTTAAGGGAGGGAATGATCGGCTCTCTTCAGAGAAGTTAGAAACATTTCGAACAGAGAATTTGCACAGTTGCCTGGGTTTTAAGAATGACAAGGGGTTTGTCAAGCGAAAGATGGAGGTAGGGCAGTGGGGAAGAACACGCGGGGTGAGAGAACGGCAATGGTGGAGACGTGGAGCCCGAGGCACCGTGGCCGGTGTCAGCACGGGACATGTCGTACATTCACACCCACTCGCGTCTACAACTGTAACACGTTTATGCCTTTTTTTTTTTCCAGCCAGGTAACCAATTTCTTGACATTCAGCCAAGTGCCCTTTACAGAGCTGACGCTGACTTTGAACCCTGAAGTTGTTCCTGGGCGGAGGGGTGGGGCGGGTGTGGTTTTCAGAACAGGGAGCAAGTAGACTCATGTGAGCAGCTGTGGCTGGTTTTACTTTTGTGTTTGCCTAGACCAAGGATGCCCTCTTCACGATCCTCCATGACCTCCGACCCCAGGACCGTTTCAGTATCATTGGATTTTCCAACCGGATCAAAGTATGGAAGGACCACTTGATATCGGTCACTCCGGACAGCATCAGGGATGGGAAAGTCTACATTCACCATATGTCCCCCACTGGAGGTAAAGGTGACTCCTCCTTCTCACATTGGCTTGGTTTTGACTTAATAATACTTTTTTTTTTTTTTTGCCACGAGACAAGGATTTGAAAGCTGGGGTTGATGATGGGACAGGAAAGGAGGCAGCAGGTGAGAGCTTTCTCAGCAGCTTACGTTGCTCTGAGTACCAGATCCGTGTTCTCCTTTCCCAGTCCCCAAACGTAGCTGGTCCAGTTCTGGGGGAAGAGAACCTGAGAGCTGTTTGGAGGCTTTCCTGGTTCATCTCATGGATCCTGTTGCAAAAAGTTTTGTTGCTGCAAAAACAATACTGCTTTTGTAAGTTGTTGTGGGGTGTCTCGAATTACAGCCACAGGGACCAGCCAGTGTTTCATGCACACCTTGGCCAGTGGCAAGTGGAACTGCTTTGCAAAACAAGGAGCCCCAAACGTGTGTCTGGGTGGCCCGGGAGGGCTGTGGAGGTCAAATGTGATGGGGGAAGACGTAGGTTCTCAGCCACTGAACACTTGTCTTGGGTGGTGCCCAGGTAAGGGTGCAGAATGTTAAGAGAGGAGAGAAAAGCTCATAAAGAATTCTGAGAAGACTAGAGAATCAGAGCAGTGTGTTACCCAGCTGGGCCAGATGTTAAGTTCTCTCAACTCAGGACCTGCGCCTTGCTCTCGCCATCCCCTGTATCACCCGTGCAGTGGACACAGAAGAGGTGCTCAGTAGTGGTGCATTTTACAGAACGGGACCTACTCCCTGTTCCCTTCCTTACAGGCTCTGTACAGAGACACCACCTCCTGCTTAATTCCACTTCGGTAATCTGGAAACATACAAAACACTCCGTTGACTCTTCTCCCATCTGGGGTTTTCCATCTTTCATATATTCATGGTTTCCCAATCCAAGACAAAGCCCTCATTTCCCAAATGGATTTAGTTTGGAACTTGATCTAGCTTGGCTGGTACTTTGCTTTACACTGGGGTTTCCTACTAGTCCCTGAAACAGTGTAATCCAGGAACCATTTTGGTGTCTGATGGGAGAAACAGAAGATTAGATTTAATATGATAGCGATGCTCTAGTGATGCCCTCTTCTCTCAGGAAGTCCACAACACTGTAAAACCCTTGAAGGAAGAGATTCCTTTTCATGTTTACATAGTCCCGGCCTCCCTGCATGGTTCCTGCCAGAGGGCATGCTCCGTGGATATTTGTAGATTGGATTTATTTTAATGGTCCTGCTTACTAGAAGAATGATGTGTGTGTGCCGGTGGAGTAGGGCTGTGGCGTAATAAACAGCTTTAGAAAATGGCTGGGCCAGGTGTGGTGGCTCACCCCGGTAATCCCAGCACTTTGGGAGGCCGAGGCGGGTGGATCACCTGAGGTCAGGAGTGCGAGACCAACCTGACCAACATGGTAAAACCCCGTCTCTACTAAAAATACAAAAAATTAGACGGCATGGTGGCAGGTGCCTGTAATCCCAGCTACTTGGGAGTCTGAGGCAGGAGAGTTGTTTGAACCCAGGAGGCAGAGGTTCCAGTGAGCCAAGATTGCGCCATTGCACTCCAACCTGTGTGTCAGTGAGACCGTCTCAAAAAAAAAAAAAAAAATAGATGACTGATGTAAGTTACAGTCTTTTGGACTCCAAGCCTTAGAGACCCTTTTGGTTTCCTTCATTTTTCTTGACACCGTATTGCCTGAGCCTCTGCAGGGGCACGGCAGATCAGCCTGCTTCTCGCTAAGACGTGCAGCATCAGGATTGCGAGCTAGGATTCTGAAGCCAGACTGCCTGGGTTTGAATCCAGATTCACCTCTATGCCTCAGTTTCCTCATCTGTAGAATGAAGATAACAATGGAGTCAAATCAGGATGGAGTGAGTTAAAACATTTCAAGTGGCTAGACTGGTCCTGGCACATAGGAAGTCCTCTTTTAAGCATCAGACGTGGCCATTGTTTTAACACACTTGGGTGACCCCTCTCACTGGCATCAGACGTGGCCATTGTTTTAACACACTTTGGTGACCCCTCTCACTGGTGCTCATGAGTCCTTTGAGGACAGCTCCTCTTTATTTTCAGTGGGCAGGGGATGCCCCACGTAATGTGGGCTTGATGCCAGTCCCTGCAGGGCCTCTGGTGTCTGTGTGCCATCAGGAAAGCTAATTCATCCCTCTGCCTGGGATCTCCTTGGCTTTAAAGTGGAGTGAGAGGTTTGGCACCATTGCTAAATACAGACAAAAGAAAAAAAACAAATGTCAATTTATCCTTACTCACACACCCAGAGGCACCAAGAAATTAGACTGGGCCTTAAGAAAGGCAAATTAGGCCGGGTGTGGTGGCTCATGGCTGTAATCTTAGCACTTTGGGAGGGCAAGCGGGGCGGATTGCCTGAGCTCAGGAGTTTGAGCAGCCTAGGCAACACGGCAAGATCCTGTCTCTACTAAAATACAAAAAATTGGCTGAGGCTGGCAGCTTGCCCCTGTAGTCCCAGCTACTCGGGAGGCTGTGGCAGGAGAATTGCTTGAAGCCGAGAGGCGGATGTTGCAGTGAGCCGAGATCGCACCACTGCACTCCAGTCTGGGCGACAGAGTGAGTCTCTGTCTCAAACAGGAAAAAACAAAACAAAACAAAAAAAAACGCAGATTAGCGATTCCAATAAAATGTTCAATAGCTTTCTTTCCATTGGACTCTGCATCCTAGCAAGAATGATGAACCTTCTTTTCATGGGCAGAGCCTCATCTGTTTTTTTAGCTAGAAATTCTGGAGGATGTAAAGCCATGGGGAGAGGATCTGTTTTTCTCAAATGTGCTACCTTTTAATTTTAATTTCTAATCTTTGGGGGTCCATAGTAGGTATATATATTTCTGGGGTATATGAGGCATTTTGATACAGGTATACATTGTGTGATCATTACATCAGGGGAAATGAGATAGACATCACCTCAAGCATTTGTCTTTTGTGTTACAAACAATCCGATGATACTTTGAGTTATTTGTAAATGTATCATGAAATTGTTGTTGAATATAATCACCCTGTTGCACTATCAAATACTAGATTGTATTCTTTCTTTTTTATTTTATGTTTTTATTTTGTATTCATTCTCTTTAGCTACTTTTTGTACCAGTTAACATCCCTCCTTCTTCCCCACCTGCCTCTACCCTTCCCAGCCTCTGAGAACCATCCTTCTACTCTAGCTCCATGAGTTCAATTGTTTTACTTTTTAGCCCCCACAAATAAGCGAGAACATGGGAAGTTTGTCTTTCTGTGCCTGGCTTAACTCACTTAATATAATGAGCTCCAGTTCCATCCGTCTTGTTGCAAATGACAGGACCTCCTTCTTTTTTATGGCTGAATAGTGCTCCATGGTATATATGTGCCACAAATCTGGTAAAATTTGCAGGTAGAGAAAAGTCACTTCAGTCAGGGTGATGGATGGTGGTGCTGATCATTAAACTCTAAATTTACTAAAAATCATGAACTGGACACTTAGAATGGGTGATCTTTTGGTATGTAGCTTTTATCTCAAGCCATTAAAAACGACAACAACAAAGGAAATAGGTATTTACATTACAGTAAGATCTCTGCTTTACTTGGTGATGGTGGGGTGTTGGTAGCTTAGTTCAATGGAATTCTTAGCTAATCCAGAAACCTCATTGTGGCTGGGGTTTCAACCTCAACCAACAAACCACCTGTCTCTCCATCCACCAAGCAAATACTTGTTCAGCCCCTGTCAAAGACACTGGGCCCAACTTTATTTATTCATTTATTTTGCTCCCAAACTTAAATTGTCTGATTTATTTTAATCATAAAGTAGTGAATTCAAGATACATGGGTGGCTGGGCACGGTGACTCATGCCTATAGTACCAGCACTTTGGGAGATTGAGGTGGGAGAATCGCTTGAGCCCAAGAGTTTAAGACGAGCCTGGGCAACACAGCGAGACCCTGTCTCTAAAAAAACAGAAGGAAAAGGAAAGAAAACAGGGGGACATTTCTTTTCTTTTCTTTTTTTTTTTTTTGAGACAGAGTTTCGCTCTTGTTACCCAGGCTGGAGTGCAATGGCGCGATCTCGGCTCACCGCAACCTCCGCCTAATGGGTTCAGGCAATTCTCCTGTCTCAGCCTCCTGAGTAGCTGGGATTACAGGCACACGCCATCATGCCCAGCTAATTTCTTGTATTTTTAGTAGAGACGGGGTTTCACCATGTTGACCAGGATGGTCTCGATCTCTTGACCTCATGATCCACCCGCCTCGGCCTCCCAAAGTGCTGGGATTACAGGCTTGAGCCACCGCGCCTGGCCCGACATTTCTTTTTTAAGAAAGCAGTAACCTGTAGTGTAACACAGCCACAGAAAGATGTATGTGTAGTAAGTGTACAGCTTGATACATTTTCATAAACTGGACATATCCCAGACCCAGATCAAGAAACAGAACATTTAGAACTCTAGAAGCCTGCTCGTATTCTCACCCCATTTTTCCCATGGAAGTATCTATTCTAAAACATTTGAGAAATAAAGAAAATTATTAAAAGAAAAGAGAGAAAAACCTCTTGCTATCCACAGATACCTGCTAATGTCAGGGGTGTTTATTCTTCCATCGTTTCTCAGAGTTGAGGTTTGTTTTCTGCTTTTGATCAGTTTTCTAAGCCACAGATTCCTGGTAAAGTTTTTCTTCCCTGTCGCCTCCAACTTTATTTTATTTATTCATTTATTTATTTCATATTTTCTTTTTCTGTTGAGACAGGATCTCACCCTTTCACCTAGATTGGAGTGCAGTGGCTCAATCTTGGCTCACTGCAACTTCCACCTTCTGGGTTCAAGTGATTCTCCAACCTTAACCTCCCAAGTAGCTGGGAATACAGGCATGCATCACTACACCCGGCTAATTTTTAAATTTTTGGCAGAGATGGGATTTTGCCATGTTGGCCAGGCTGGTCTTGAACTCCTGACCTCAGGTGATCTGCCTGCCTCGGCCTCCCAAAGTTCTGGGATTACAGGCATGAGCTACTGTGCCCAGCTGGCCCCCAACTTTAATCAGACCTGCTACTGACAAATGCCTCTGGAAGAAAAAGGGGGGCAGGAGGAGAAATATTTCATGCTCCTCCCTTTGCAGGGTTCTACCAAGCAGAGGTAACCTGAAGGGACAGGAAGCAAGGAAAGAAGAGACGATATAGGCAAGAAATTCATTCTTTCATCAGCACCATCCAGCCCTGGACAACACTGGAAGGCATCTGAGATGTCAGCAGCTACCTTCCGCCCCCTCATTCCATGCCCCCACCTCCCCCTGCGGCTCTTTCTCCCTCCAAATTCCTGCTGTCCTGTCTGCTGAGCACCTTCCTGCTCTTTTCAAAGCCATTCTCAGAAAAGGGCACAGAAGCCATTGAAGCTCAGGTAGTAGAGACTGCTAAGCTAAAGTGGAGGTTTGTTACAGCGGGATAATCCCCAGTCACTTACATGCATTTAGCAAATGCACGCCAAGTTTCTGGATGTCCTCCATTGGGTGGTTGAGCATGGATTGCAGTTATGGAAGTAAATTCAGGCCTGGTACAGTGGCTCACACCTGTAATCCTAGCGCTTTGGGAGGCCAAGGCAGGTGAATCACGAGGTCAAGAGTTCGAGACCCGCCTGGCCAACATGGTCAACCCCATTTCTACTAAAAATACAAAAATTAGCCAGGTGTGATGGTGCATGTCTGTAATCATAGCGACTCAAGAGGCTGAGGCTGGAAAATTGCTTGAACCTGGGAGGCGGAGTTTGCAGTGAGTGGAGGTCATGCCATTTTACTCCAGTTTGGGTGACAGAGCAAGACGCCATCTCAAAAAAAAAAAAAAGTGCCTTCAGAGTGGGGAGGTAAGTGCAGAGGCTTGAGCTGTCCTGTGTTGGCGTCCTGCAGGCACAGACATCAATGAGGCCCTGCAGACGGCCATCAGGCTCCTCAACAAGTACATGGCCCACAGTGATGGTGGAGACCGGAGCGTGTCCCTCATCATCTTCCTGACGGACGGGAAGCCTACGGTTGGGGAGACGCACACCCTCAAGATCCTCAACAACACCCGGGAGGCCGCCCGAGGCCAGGTCTGCATCTTCACCATTGGTATCGGCACCGACGTGGACTTCAGGCTGCTGGAGAAGCTGTCGCTGGAGAACTGCGGCCTCACGCGGCGTGTGCACGAGGAGGAGGACGCGGGCTCGCAGCTCATCGGGTCTGTGGTCTGAGGCCATCTGGGGTCGGCAGGGGTGCGGAGGGGTGACTGTGGTGGGAACTTGGGCAGGAGCGTGCTGCTCCTCCCCAGGCTTGCGTCTGCTGACCGCCATCGCAGGTCACTGCACTGGGAGGTGTCACAATGTGTTTTGAAACCAGGGAGCTCAGAGTTCAAATTTTGGTCCTCTTTTTGTGAGTTTAGGCAAGACTTTAAGACTGTTTGTACCCCCGTCTCCTCATCGCTAAGATGAGGATTATGGTTGGTTACAGAATTTAATGAGAAAATAGCGGTGTAAAAATGCTGTTAAAGCATTGGCAGAGTGGCCATCCCATGTTAAGTATTTAATGAGCTCTCATGGTTCATGAACATCTCATAGTTCAAAGCACTTTCTAGCAAGTTTACTTTGATTCTACCCTGTGAGTAAGTAGTGGACTACTGTTATTTTCATTTTGAGTACTAGTTAAAAGATTTTATTTAGAAGCAAAACAACCAGATAAAACTGGCAAATAATCAGATTATTTTGAGGTGGAGAAGAAATGAGATCTTTCAAATGAGAGATGGAGGAAACTTAGATCTTTTAAAACAGAAATAGCTTCCCTCGGATCTCATGTCGCTACACACAGCCTGCCACTTTGCTGTCGACTGAGTGAAGAACCAGCTCCCAGTTCAGCGTGAGGTGCTTTAATCTGCATCGTGGCATATATGGTATCTACTTTAAAGGAAAGGGGAAGTTTGGGTAGATTTGTGGCTGTTTAATAGCCATAATCAAAGGACATTTATAATGGTAAATGGAAGTGGAGGTCCCTAAGGTATGCAGTAAACACAGGTCCTTGGTTTGGGATTAGCTACCATTTTCTCCATTGCCTCCCATGCATCTTTTTTTTTTTTTTTTTTTTTTTTTTTTTTTTTTTTTTAGACATAGTCTCACTCTGTCACAAGGCTAGAGTACAGTGGCGTGATCTCAACTCACTGCAACCTCCACCTCCCAGGCTCAAGCAATTCTCCTGCCTCAGCCTCCCGAGTAGCTGGGACTACAGGCTCACGCCACCACACCCAGCTAATTTTTGTATTTTTAGTAGAGACAGGGTTTCACCATTTTAGTCAGTATGGTCTCGATCTCCTGACCTCATGATCTGCCTGCCTCAGCCTCCCAAAGTACTGGGACTACAGGCATGAGCCACTGTGCCTGGCCTCTTCCCATGCATTTTAATGAAAGAGTTAAATGAAAACATAGATTTGTTTCCCACATTTTAAAAATTATTCAAAACTAGAGTCAAAGAGGGAGAATATGACGCACTGGATAATAGAATTGAGATTCAATAAGGCATTCAGAAGAAAAAGCAGTTATGTTGCAACAAGTCAACTGCACTGCCATCCCACTGAAACTATGATCAATACCTGACATTTATGAGAACTTATGATACACCAGGAATTTCTGTGTGAATGATCCCAGATGATCCTCACAGAAATCCTTGGAGATAGCTATATTAGGGCAAAGGCTAAGCTGTAATACAGAGGTGATGAAAGGCAAAGGCTGAAATAAGACAGCCGTTTACTTCTCTCTCCTATAATGGTAACAGGCTTGATCCTGCTCCACAAAGTCATTCAGGGACCCAGGTTCCTGCTCCATGAAGTCATTCAGAGACCCAGGTTTCTTCAGTTTCATTGCTCTGCTTTCCTCAAGTGTTGTCCTTAATGCTACAGGATTGAAATCTGGTCACTATCACTTTTGTTTTCTGGCCACAAAAAGGGAGAGAGAAAAGAAGCCAGCATGGATTTTAAACAAATGTTGAGGAAACTGCACATCTCACTCCTATCCATATTCCATTGGGAAGACATAGTCACATGGCCATTTTTGGCCCCAATAGAGGCTAGGAAAAGTGTTTTGTATCTGGATGGCCATAGTCAATTCTCATGAAAGGAGGGGAAAATGGGCTTATAGGGACAGCTAGCAGGCGACCAAAGAAGTACTATTAACATCCTGAGTCTATATGTAAGGGAACAGAAGTTCAGAGAGGTTAAGCCACATGTCCCAAGACACACAGCAAGGAACTGACAGAGATGGAAGTCCAACTCCACAGCCTATGCTTTCTAGATCGTTAGAAAGGGAATTTTAATAGTCTCCTTGCTTAGCAAGAAGGAACCATGGAACTTCATGAGAAAAGCAAATGCAAGCAAATGTTATATGCACAAACTCACACAAGGTCAGATTTCTCAGGTAGAATGTGCTGCTTAAAGCACATCTGGAATTTGTACTTGGTTTTAAGAAAAAGGTTTTAAGAGGCTTTTTGGGAAACGTCGGTGTGCACAAACAAAATGTACCAAGACTGGCAGGGAAATCTCGAAACTGTCACAGGAAGACCAGTTCATGAAACTGGGGATTGATAAGGCTTAAAGGAATGCACAGCGTTGGTTTTTTAAGCATCCGAATGTCTGTTGAAATAGATTAGACTAATTCTGTATTGTTCCAGAGGCAAAACTGAGATCAGTGGGTGGAAATTTTGGGGAGGAAGATCTTAATCTACTATAAGGAGGTTCCTTCTCCTCATAAGAGCAATTGAAAAAAAGCTCAGAAGCCACATGAGAGAATGCATTCCCTCCCACCAGTGGTGTTGAACCTGCTTCCTAGTGACCTCCTGGCAGAAATATTGCATGGGGTGCCATGTGGACTCGATTGCTTCTAAAATTGGACGCATCCCTCTGAGAGTCTGTGGTTTCCTTTCGGACTGTCCTGCCTGCTGTCAGAGCAGGCCCTGATCTGTATCTCTCTCCCTGTTCCTCCACCACAGGTTCTACGATGAAATCAGGACCCCTCTCCTCTCTGACATCCACATCGATTATCACCCCAGCTCAGTGGTGCAGGCCACCAAGACCCTGTTCCCCAACTACTTCAATGGCTCGGAGATCATCATCGCAGGGAAGCTGGTGGACAGAAAGCTGGATCACTTGCACGTGGAGGTCACCGCCAGCAACAGTAAGAAATTCATCATCCTGAAGACGGATGTGCCTGTGGGGCCTCAGAAGGTGGGGAAAGACGTCCTAGGAAGCCCCAGGCCTGAAGGCGATGGAGAAGGGGACCCCAACCACATCGAGCGTCTCTGGAGCTACCTTACCACAAAGGAGCTGCTGAGCTCCTGGCTGCAAAGTGACGATGGGCCGGAGAAGGAGCGGCTGCGGCAGCGGGCCCAGGCTCTGGCCATGAGTTACCACTTCCTCACTCCCTTCACCTCCATGAAGCTGAAGGGGCCGAGCCCACGCACGGACGGCCTGGAGGAGGCCCACGGCATGTCGGCCGCCATGGGACCTGAACCGGTGGTGCAGAGTGTGCGAGGAGCTGGCACACAACCAGGTACGTGGCACCTGTGCAAGCCAGGTGTGGGGGACACGGGCCTGAGATGCCACTCACCTCCTCCGCAGGAAGCTGTGTCAGTCCCCCTTGCTGTAATACTGACAAACAATAGCCCAGGCTGGGTGCGGTGGCTCACGCCTGTAATCCCAGCATTTTTGGAACCTGAGGTGAGGATCACTTGAGGCCATCAGTCCAATGCCAGCCTGGGCAACACAGAGAGACCCTGTCTCTACAAAAGAAAAAAATTAAATTATCTATGTATGGTGGGGTGTGCCTGTAGTCTCAGCTACTCAGGAGGCTGAGGAAGGAGCATCACTGGAGCCCAGGAGTTTGAAGCTGCAGTGAGCCATGATCACACCACTGCTCTCTAGCCTGGGTGACAGAGCAAGACCCCATCTCTAAAAAAACCACCAACCAAAAAGCAGTGACACTATACACAGCTCATAATCAGAGAGTACTGTAGACTGTTGTGTGCACAAAGCAGTAATACTATACGCAGCTCATAATCAGAGAGTATTGTAGACCGTTGTGTGCACATTGCTGTACACTGCGGCAGTCTAGAGAAATGAGGAAAAGGTGGCATTTGGTTCAGAAATGTCAGGCAGTGAGGTCAGTCCCTCAATAAACCATCAATAAACCATCAATAAGCCATCAAGTGTTTTCCAGCTTTCAGGCCTGAGCGGAAGCACTGAAATGAACACACCAATGCCCATGTTTCAGTGCCTTTCTGTATTTCTAAGCACTTCAGAGTTATGTATTATAACGTGGCTGTATGCTTGACCTCATTTCCCCAAGAGCATGTGGGAAGGACCAAGGATTCTTGCAAGAATCCGGTCTTTCCATGTCAGTCTCTGAGAATCGGAACACAAGTAGGCCCGGTCAATCTCAATGCCATTGCTGATGGGGGATGAGCAGGAACAAGAGCAAGAGAAAGGAAACACAGTGAAACCAAAGCAGAGCATTGGAATCTTGGCAGATCCACTTGTGAAAAATCACGTTTCCTGTGCATCACGTTTTTATTAGGTTCCTGTCCTGTTCTGACTGCTAGGAGAGGGAAGCAAGGTTAATCGGGCCCTACTCCACACCTTACCAATGCTGTCCCATTCATTCCTCACACTCTACAGTGATAGAAGGACCTGGGTGTAGAGAAAGCATGAAGTTAGGATTCACCAACCCTCACTGTGAGGCTTGAGGCAGGTTTCTGAACCTCTCTGAGCTTCCATTCCCACTCCACAGCCCTGAACATGGAGACAATACTAATTTCCCTGCAGGGCTGTCGTAAGGACTAAATATGGAATGCATGGGTGCACAGTGAGTTCTGCACAAATGCCAGACACGCCTTCCGCTGAGGCACGGGATACCAGAAATTAATTGAAAAGTTCAGACCCTGATAGTGAGGTTGCAATTGACATGGCTATTTCAGAAAGGGTGGAGCTTGTCTCGGCAAACCTTACACAGTTTTCGTTGTGATTGAAAGCAGGTGGCAGGATACTGTCACTGTCTACTTGTGAGATCCATGCCACATCCAGGAAAAGTGGCTTTTTGAATAAGATGTTGATTATAGGTCATCAGCGCAAATCTCCACAGCTTCAGGAGAGATCAGACCCAGATGATACAAAGACTCAGGGGGCCAGAATGACAGAGGAGATCACCAACTGATTATTCAAAATGGTTTTAAATTTTTTTTTGAAAGAGGATTCTTCCTTTCCTTAAGGCTCTGATGGTTTCTAAATCTTAATGTTAATTTTTTTGAGAGTTGGCGGCAGCTGCCACTCCTGAAAGCAGTCACCTAGTCATCCCTCCTCTTTCCTGGCTAATCTGCATTCTGCCCAGGTCACGCTAGGCAATACCAGTATTAAGAAGGGAATGCTTCAGAAACATTGAGATACCTCACTCTTTAATTTCTGTGGGCAGTAGAAACCAAAGAAGAGGAGCACAATTTTTCTAGTACTAACAATTTGACCTAAGATACTGATTTTATTTATAGAAATTAATTACTTTTAGGTTATTCTTTCATTGAATATTTATTCAAAGCACGAGTACTTTGAAATACAAAGTGTTTTAAAATCTTCTGCTTTGTGAATTCCGCTGCACACATAGCTGCAAACACTGGATTATAACTATACCTCTTTCTTTTTTTTTACATTGTTGTTTGTTTTTGTTTTTATTGTGAACATACAATTTACCATCTTAACTGTTTTTAAGTGTACAGTTCAGTGCTGGTAAGTGATGTTAAGTATATTCACACTGTTGTGAAACAGATCTCTGGAACGTTTTCATCTTGCACCTCTGAAATGCTACAGGCCCACTGAACAACAACTCATTTCTCCCTTCCCCTCTAAATATGTCTCAGGTGTGGCCGGGTGCAGTGGCTCGCTCCTTCTCTGGTTCATCGTCACTTTGCAGTAATCCCAGCACTTGGGGAGGCTGAGGCGGGTGGATCATCTGAGGTTGGGAGTTTGAGACCAGCCTGACCAACATGGAGAAACTCTGTCTCTACTAAAAATGCAAAATTAGCTGGGCGTGGTGGCACATGCCTGTAATCCCAGCTACTTGGGAGGCTGACGTAGGAGCATCGCTTGAACCTGGGAGGTGAAGGTTGCAGTGAGCCAAGATCACACCGCTACGTCCAGCCTGGGCAACAAGAGTGAAACTCCATCTCAAAATAAATAAGTCAGATGTGATAAAATGTTTCCCTCCTATAATATACACAAAAATCACAGAATAGTATATAATTTATAAAAGAATAAAATAAAGAATCCTCCACACTTTACACCCCACCTGTGTGGTTCTTTTTTTTTCTCGTTTTTGAGACGGGGTCTCACTGTGTCACCCGGGCTGGGGTGGGAGCACAGCGGTGCGGTCATAGCTCACTGCAGCCTGGATCTCCTGGGCTCAAGCAATCCTCCTACCTCAGCCTCCCAAGTAGCTGGAACTACAGACACATGCCACCTTGCTGGGCTAATTTTTTACTTTTTGTAGGGATGGGGTCTCCCTATATTGCCCAGGCTGGTCTCGAACACCTGGGCTCAAGTGATCTTCCCACCTTGGCCTCCCGAAGCACTGGGATTACAGACATGAGCCACCATGCCTGGCTGTCCTTGTGTGCTTTGAAGCCAAGCTCCCTTTTCTAAGACCGATGATGTTTGCAATGGTTTTTTTTTGATTCTTTAAGCTGTTACAAATGTACCTAAAAGCCGGGTTTTAGTGATTTCTACTTTCCCTTTGTACCTCTCTCTTCATCTTTAATGAATGACCGTGACCTTCTCTTCCTTCTTTTCAGGACCTTCGCTTGAGAAGCCGTACCAGCCAAGAATTAAAATCTCTAGAACATCAGGTAAAGAAAAGGATGAGCTTGTGTGTGGATTGAGAGTAAAAGGTGTTTAAAAAGTATAAAGCCAGGCCAGGTGCAGTGGCTGGCGCCTGTAATTCTAGCACTTTGGGAGGCCAAGGCAGGTGTATTGCTTGAGGTCAGGAGTTCAAGACCAGCCTGGCTAACATAGGGAAACCTCATCTCTACTAAAAATACAAAAATTAGCTGGCTGTGGTGGTGCATGCCTGTAGTCCCAGCTATTGGGGAGGCTGAGGCAGGAGAATCGCTTGAACCTGAGAGGTGGAGGTTGCAGTGAGCCGAGACCACACCACTGCACTCCAGCCTGGACTACAAGAGTGAAACTCTGTCTCAAACAAACAAAAAATGTAAAATCAAGAGTTCCTTGAAGCCAGTTAAAAAATAGCAGCTCATACAGCAACGTGTCAAGCCCACAGTGCGAGGCAGAGCCTGAGAACCACAGCTGTCATGAAACCATTCCCTGAACACTGTGGAGACAGCACAGTCCCCAGGAAGCCTGGTGGAAGAACAGATGGGTGGCAGAGGCACGTTCTGACCCTTCCTGAGGTTGGAAGACAATTTTTTTAGTGATCTGTAGCATGGATCCTTCCAGCTTCTGCTGTTACACATGTAAAATGGTGCTACCAAAATCAAAATGTCTGGTGTGACAGGCAGGCTTTTTTTTTTTTTTTTTCCCCTCAAGTCTGTGGCTTCAGAAGGGAAGAACAGATTTTTTCAAGTATCATGAAATTTTCTTTTTCTAGCTTCCTGGGACTAGAATATAAGTTCAGAGGGAAGAACAACCGCTGGCTGGGTTCTGTTCTGCTGGGTCCACATCAGCCTCTGGAAGTCTTTATTATTATCTTTCTGCTGCTGTGCTGTACGTGCAAATTCCTAAAGCCAAGGACATCCCAGAGATTAGCTGTGGATACAGAATCCACACGGTCTCCAGGAGACAGAATATAATTCCTTCGAACACACACATAGGCTCTGTGGAATGCCAGAAAAGCTTCCTCTTGGATGCTGCCTGGAGTCATGACTTTCTGACCCCCTCATCTGTTTTGGAGCAAGCACTCTCTTTCCTTGTAAAGAGGTTTGGATGATTTGACTACAAATGGTGTGGTATGTGCGCATAAAAACTCTCAGAAACCTGTCAGATTAGCTAGACAGTTGCCCTCTGTCTCCATGGGTCCCTCATCCAAGGATAGAACCACTAGCAGATTGAAAATATGTGAAAAAGGAATTGTATCTGTATTGCATGTGTACAGACTTCTTTTTCTGGTCTTTATCCCTTAAACAATGTAGTGTAACAACTATTTACATCAAATTTCCTTTGCATTAGGTATTATAAGTAACCTAGAGATGGTTTAAAGTGTATGGAAAGGCTGTGTGTGGTGACTCACGTCTGTAATCGCAGCACTTTGGGAGGCCGAGGCAGGTGGATCATCTGAGGTCAGGAGTTTGAGACCAGCCTGACCAACATGGCGAAACCCCATCTATACTAAAAATACAAAAATTAGCCAGGCGTGGTGGTGCATGCCTCTAGTCCCAGCTACTCAGGAGGCTGAGGTAGGAGAGTCGCTTGAACCCAGGAGGCAGGGGTTTCAGTGAGCCAAGATTGTGCCATTGCACTTCAGCCTGTGTAACAGAGTGAGCGTCCATCTCAATAATAATAATAATAAAGTGTATGAAAGGCTGTGTGAAGGTTATGTACAAATACTACACCATTCTGTGTCAGGGACCTGAGTATGCACATATTTCAGTATCCTCAGGGGTCCTGGAACTAATCCCCCATGGACACCAAGAGACAACTGTATGCATGCCTCGAAAATGCCAGAAATGTAAATGAGAAATTTCATCTTTTCTGGGGATCAAGTTTACCCCGTTAGCAAAAGACCAGCACTTTGAATTTCTTCGTATGTTGTAGTCTTCAGGGAAGTTGAAGCACTTCCCAGGGACAGCAGCCAGATCCTCTCGAGGGCCCTTCTCAGGGATACTGGGGCAGAAAGGTTTCTCAGCAGGGAAGGCAGGGATGTTAGTTTGCTGCAGCTTAAAAAGAGCAGACTCCCTGTAGTCCCAGCATGTTGGGAGACTGAGGCAAGCGGATCATGAGGTCAGTAGTTTGAGACCAGCCTGGCCAGCATAGTGGAACTCTGTCTCTATAAAAATAAAAAAATTAGTTCGGTGTGGTGGCTGGTGCCTGTAATCCCAGCTACTTGGGAGGCAGAGGCAGGAGAATTGCTTGAACCGGGGACGTGGAAGTTGCAGTGAGCTAAGATCATGCCACTGCACTCCAGCCTGGGTGACAGTGTGAGACTCCGTCTCAAATTAAAAAAAAAAGGAAGAGTGGACTCTACCTGGCCCATGCCTACACTGTACACAGCACACACGTGGACACGTCTGTGTGCCTACGCTGTACACAGCACGCACGCGAACACGTCCATGTGTTCATTAAGCAGACGGGCATTTGAGAAACATGTTGTGGGCTGGTGTGGTGGCTCATGCCTGTAATCCCAGCACTTTGGGAGGCTGAGGTGGATGGAATGCTTGAGCCCAGGAGTTTGATACCACTCTCGGCAACATAGTGAGACCCTGTCCCTACAAAAAATTAAAAAATTAGCTCAGCATGGTGGCACGTGCCTGTAGTCCCAGCTACTCAGGAGGCTGAGGTGGGAGGACCATTTGAGCTCAGGCGTTTGAGGTTGCAGTGAGCTGTGATTGCACTACTATGCTCCAGTCTGAACAACAGAGTGAGACCCTGTCTCAAAGAAAAAAGAAACAAACTGCCCTTGGAATATAAATTAGAAGCTAAATCTCCAATCTAGTAAGATAATTGATGAAGCCATCTTCTGAAGTCTTTCATCTGTATAATAAAAGGTAAGGCTGTTCACCTTTAACAGAGGTGAAACTGAGGAGAACTGAGAAGGCATAACTGCCAGCTGGACTTTGTGGCCTCATCTGTGCACAGAAATTTCAGAGCAGTAAAGTTAGTATGACCCAAAGGAGGGGTTTCCACCAGTACCCTGCCTGTGCCTGGCACCTGCTCCCTTAATGCTTCCCTTGCCCCTGCCTCTACGCTGGGCATGGCTCTCAGCACTGTGGGCAGGGGTAGCATACAGCTGATGTGAATGAGCCTGGGATAGCCTATGGCATCCTGGGAGAAGGAGCGCATAGACCTCCAGTCACAGGAGAGGAAAGTCCTCTGCATCTGTGCCATTAAAGGAGAAAGCAAATGGCAGGAGACGTCCACCCGGGAAATGGAAGCATGGGGACTTGGTACCAGTTGAGGGTGTGTGGGGGTCTCTCCTTCCCCCTCACCTCTCAGAGCTTAGTTCCTATACTGAGCTTAAGTATGATGAAAGGAGCATTACATTGGAACTTAGAAGACCCGAAGTTAAACTCACTGAGTAATTTTGGGGAGCTGTTTCTCTCCCACCCATCTTCCTCTTCTGGAAATTGAGGACATCTCCTTTCGGCATCATTTTCAGGATGCAATAAAATCGTTCATGAGAAAGTAGAGAGTGGCACCTACGCAAGGAAGGTACTCAGTAAGTGCCTTTCTTTTTCTTTCCTTTTTCTTCCGCCCTGGCAGTGGATGGCGATCCCCACTTTGTTGTGGATTTCCCCCTGAGCAGACTCACCGTGTGCTTCAACATTGATGGGGAACCCGGGGACATCCTCCGGCTGGTCTCTGATCACATGCACTCTGGTAAGTTCCACCCTCCGCTGCAGCGTCTGGCGAGGGCCAGATAGGTGTTGCAACCCCCCGTGTCCTTCAGATGGACGTCCAGTTATCTATGTGAGGGTCACCTTACAGACGCTCAGTGAGTATTGTCGATGGTTAAGGGAAGTGTGCTGTGCTCCTGGATGTACACGTCCAAATCCCTGCTTTGTGACGAGTGTCGTGTGGCCTTGGGCACATGCCTTGGGAGCTGCACTGTTTCCCTTGTGAAATGGAGATAAGGACACTCTGTGGCCCTCAGGGCTATTATAAAGTGGATCAAATGAAACTGGATATGAAGTTGTTTTGTGAATGCTCAAGTGCTTTAGAAACCCACGATGTATTATTGTCATAATGTCTGTCCATTCAGAAGCTGTGATGCTGGGGAGGCCGGGAATCAACTCAGGTCAGTTCTTTGATGACTTAGATAGGCTGCTCAGATGTCAATCTACAGCTCTGTCTGTGTGCGGTGAACCTGTGTGTACAAAAGGCTCTCTGGTCCCTGTGGGTCTGTAGAGGGGCTGGGTGAAAGAGGTGAGCACAGAGAAAGCTTTTCGAGTTCAACGCAGGTAGCCAACAATGTTCAGCTCTGTGAGGACAAGCTTTGGAGTGGGCACCCTGGCACTTCTCACTGCTGAGAAAGTGAGTATCTCAGAATGTTGGGTTGCACGGGGTTGCCCCGCAGGTGACGCGTATGGTGCAAGTTCCTTCAACACATTGTTTTCTTGCAGGACTTTTATAGCCTCCGAGCGAAAACTCTACTATTTCTTATTTTAAGGGCTCAGGAGCAAGAGAGGGGCCTACCTGTACATGTCCTTGGAAATACCCCCTATTCTAGGAGCCGTTCCCACGGTTTCTGTATTCCATGAGACGTCCGTGATGGGAACTCAGCCCGAAGACGCTTAGAACTTTGGGGCTGGAAGTGCACAGGCTCTTCTCACGCTGGGGTTTCTCCTCTCCCCTGACCCCTTGCCCAGAGAAGGCCCATTTTTTCCCTCTTGAATGTCTAAGAAGTTGTTAGACAAGATTTATTGGGAAGATTATTCTCAAAGCAGAGAAAACAAGAGTTGATTATATAGCAATTTTTTTGTTATTACAAGTTGCTGCTTTTCACCCAAGAGCAGAACACATTTCACACGCATCGCGGAATTCAGCCCCAAACATCAACTGCCATCTGTTTGCTCTTCAGCCAGACAACGCGGAGCCCGGGGGCCTGGCTCACAGGCCTTGCTCAAGTCCAGAAAAGCCCCAGTGGTGTTCACAATGATGAAGGAAAAAAGAACGGCATTCTATTTGATAGCAGTTTATCACTTACACCAATGGGATCCTTACACAAATTCTGTGGGGTTTTATATCTGCCCATCTGTTTTACAGATAAGGAAATTGAGGCAGGTTTTTTGTTTGTTTTTGTTTTTGAGATGGAGTGTCACTCGGTCACCCATGCTGGAGTGAAGTGGCGCCATCTCGGCTCACTGCAACCTCCCGGGTTCAAGTGATTCTTCTGCCTCAGCTTCCCTAGTAACTGGGATTACAGGGTTTTTTGTTTGTTTTGTTTTGTTTTGTTTTGTTTTAAATGACTTATCTAATAATGAACACCTAAGCGGAAGAACTTGCGTTTCTCGACTTAAAAAAAAAGCCTAACTTTGCATTCTCCCACACTGCTCAGTGGCATGACAAGATGTCCAAATTAGGATCGGGAACCCCTGGTAGATACAAAATACACATCAGAGTCACACAACAGTTCTGATCACTACAGCCACACCAGAAGGAAGCCAAACGAACATGGTGAGCTCTGCGTAGATGCACAAATACTTAGCTTCATGCCTCCTTGTATGGTATCAGGATCCAAACCTACATCCTCCCTCCCCACCCCAAGATACTGGTCAGACAATAGGAAAAACTCCACACATAACTTCACACATTCACTCATTCACGTACTCACTCGGTAACCACTGAGTGGCTTCTGTGTGTAAGTCAGACAATGTTTTTGGTACTCGACATACAAAGATAAGTCCAGAGGAGGAAGGAAATTTTAACTTGATGCATTGGGCAGGGATAGATTTTCTTTTCTTTTCTTCCTATTTTTTGTGAGATAGGATCTCACTCTGTGGCCCAGGATGGAATGCAGTGGTGTGATCCAGCTCACTGCAGCCTTGAACTCTTGGGCTCAAGGGAACTCCTGGGCTCAAGCAAACTAGCTGGGACTACAGGCACGCAGCACCATGCCCAGCTCAATTTTTATTTTTAGTAGAGACGGGGTCTCTCTGTGTTGCCCAGGCTGGTCTTGAACTCCTGGGCTCAAGCAACCCACCTGCCCTGCCTCCCCAGTGTTGGGATTACAGACGTGAGCCGCCACTCCTGGCCAGATTTTCTAACCTTGTTCTTTTCCCCTCGGCCTTTTAGGTGTGACAGTGAATGGAGAGTTAATCGGGGCACCCGCCCCTCCAAATGGCCACAAGAAACAGCGCACTTACTTTCGCACCATCACCATCCTCATCAACAAGCCAGAGAGGTCGTATCTCGAGGTCACACCAAGCAGAGTCATCCTGGATGGTGGGGACAGGCTGGTGCTCCCCTGCAACCAGAGTGTGGTGGTGGGGAGCCGGGGGCTGGAGGTGTCAGTGTCGGCCAACGCCAATGTCACCGTCACCATCCAGGGCTCCATAGCCTTTGTCATCCTCATCCACCTCTACAAAAAGCCGGCACCCTTCCAGCGACACCACTTGGGATTCTACATTGCCAACAGCGAAGGCCTTTCCTGCCAAGTGCCACGGACTGCTAGGTAGGGAGCTGTGCTTCTCCTCACGTTGGGTTTACCGGGCAGAGTTAAAGTTCTCAAGCAAAGCTGATATTGCCAATACCTTTAGTTAGATTGAGAAATTCAATAGGAATGTGGTTTTTATTATATATACAGTCTACATATATATGTATGTATGTATATGTATATGTATACACACAGTCTCTATATACACATATACATAATGAACAAACTTATATGTTATATATATATCATGTATGTATATGTGTATTATATATACAGTCTATGTATATATGTATACAAAGACTGAATAGGTATGTATAGTCTATATATGTAAATCTATATCATATATATTATGTATATGCAGTCTATATATGTATATGTACGTATACATGTATATATGTATGATATATACAGTCCGTGTATGTATGTATCTATGTATACACAGGCTGTATGTATATATACCGTCTATACACATACATAATATGTCATATATATATGTGCATGGGTATATATACAAACTGTGTATGTATGTATATACACACGTATATATAGTCTGTATATGTATGTGTGTGTATATATAGTCTGTGTATGTGTGTATATATGTATGTATACAGTCTGTATGTGTGTGTGTATAGTCTGTATATGCATGTGTGTATATATATACAGTCTGTCTGTATGTATATATGTATGTATACAGTCTGTATGTGTGTAAATATGTATACATTTGTATTTGTACAGTCTATGTATGTATGTATGGTGTGTATTTATATGTATGTATATAGTCTGTATGTGTGTGAATATACATATGTATTTGTACAGTCTGTATGTATGGTGTGTATATGTATATATACAGTCTGTATGTGTGTGTATATATACAGTCTGTGTATGTATATATGTATGTATACAGTCTATGGTGTGTATATATATACAGTCTGTGTATGTGTGTGTGTATATATACACAGTCTGTGTATGTATGTATATATGCATGTATAGAGTCTGCGTATGTGTGTATATATGCATGCATAGAGTATGTACGTATGAACATATTGCACACACACACACACACACACACAGTCATGCCTTGCCTGATGACAGGGATACGTTCTGAGACATGCACCGTTAGGTGATTTGGTGGTTATGTGACCATCTAGAATATCCTTGAACACACCTAGATCATATAGTCCTCTACCCACCCAGCTAGGCTATGTGGTGCCTCCTATTGCTCCCAGCCCACAAACCTGTACAGCAGTGACTGCACGGAATACTGCAGCAATTGCAACATGATGATAAGTATTAGTATCTGGACATGGAAAAGGTACACTAAAAATATTCAATCATAATCGTATGGGACCACCATCATATTTTCAGTCCATCATTGATTGAAATGTCCTGATGTGGCACGTGACTGTATATGTAACATGAAAATCCAATTTCTTCCTGGACTTCTGGGCTGGGAATGGGCTTTATAAACCAGCAGTCTCTTTAGCCTTCTGGGGAATGAATGAGAAATTGGAGTGTGATCACCTGAGGGTCCAATTCCTTTGCTCTCAGCAAGAAGACTCAGGCAGCCCTGCCCAGCGCCCAGCCTAAGCAACACCCCTCCACAGGAGATGCCTCCATGACCACGTGCAGCAGGCAGGCCATTCTACTCAGCTTTCTTCAATGTGCAATTTCACGTGGGCCCCTTGCCCAAAAATAAAGAGCAAATCATTGTCAGAACTCAGTTTAATAGGTAGGATTTCCTGGCTCTTGAGCTGGCCACGTTTCGTGGGGCCCAGTGTGAGCTCCCTTTGCAGACATAGCTCTGTATGCCTGTGGCCTGAGCAGTGCCCCCATCTGACCTGCAGAGTGGTGAGGACAAGGGTCAGAGAGGATCTGAGCTGACTGCTTTACCCCCGACCCAGCACAGACCTGGGATGGATGGAAAGGAGCCGAGCCTGTGACTGGGGAGAGGACAGAGGGAAGATGGAACACTGCTTGCCTCTTTACCTTCCCCATCCTGTCCTCTGGACTCAGTAGGAGACTGTGGTTCTTGCTATTTGCAGGTTAGGCAACTTTCTAGCATTAGCAACTGGGAAGCTTCCAGCAATGGCAGGTCACTGCAGACAAATCCTCGGCCCTCTCCCCACTTTCCCCCAGAACACATGCTCTTCCATGACACCAGAGAACGTGTCAGCTCCTGCTGGGAGAGTCTGATCTCGGGTTGTGGCCAGTTGTAAGCCTTCCCGCCACTGATAGCACTAAAGTTTGATTTCAGCACAAGGTTTCTGCATTTGACTGAGACTCGATGCTCTTCTTTGTCCTCGCAGGTCAGTTCCTGAACCAGGATGCCAGACTCACAGAAGACGATGCAGGGCCCAGCCAGAACCTCACTCACCCTCCGCTCCTTCAGGCGGGAGAGGGACCCGAGGCCGTCCTCACGGTGAAAGGCCATCGAGTCCCAGTGGTCTGGAAGCAAAGGAAGATTTACAACGGAGAAGAGCAGATAGACTGCTGGTTTGCCAGGAACAATGCCGCCAAACTGATTGACGGGGAGTACAAGGATTACCTGGCATCCCATCCGTTTGACACAGAGATGACACTTGGCCGGGGAACTGTCCAGGGAGCCCTGAAGCTGGCAGCCTCAAGGACGTAAGTGCATGAAGGACGGTGATGTGGGGAGGCCGTGGAGCAGCTCTTTTCGTGGCTTATACTTGCCTCAGCTCCTGGCAATTAGCTGGACTCCATGACCCACTCCGGGTGCGGCGTAGATGTGACGTCTGCCTGGGCGAAGGGGAAGGGTGGGAAGCCTGCGTGCAAATGCCATTTCCCCAGCTCCTCCTTCCTGCCTCTCCCCACCCTGCCCGCGTCTACAGAGGGGAGACCAGTCATTGCTAAATGCAACCAAAGTCTGTATCTTGTCCCAACCTGCTTATCCGTTTTGTTAGCCTACCGGTAAAGTAAGCCTTTCTGGTGGGGGAAGGTTGCTATGAGTTTGTTTTCTTGGTGGAAATGGCCAAGTGTGGGCCCTCTGCTTTTTGCCTTACACTCATGCTTAGGAAGCTGTCTTTTCAGTAGTGTTGCAGCCTCCAGAGGTGCGGCCAGCCTCTACTGCAAAGGACTCTGTCACTGAGTTCAGGCCACCAACCATGCAAGTAGCTGAAACATTTGATCATTGTAAACCATTAAGTCTTGTCTTGCGAGAGGTTTTTCTTCTGCTGTGGTCTCTTGCCCTTAAAAATTAGTTTTCATTAAAAAGAAATTTGATTGAAAATAGAAACATCTACAGCTCAGATACTGATCTCTTTCTAATGGGCTTTGTACACCAGTTGACTTCGCTGATGGCTGTTCTCCAATTTGTTCCAATAAGCGAAAGGCTTTTAACTCATAGGACAACTCCATGTGGTTGATTTACTGGCGTGTCTTGGTGCTGGAGAGTTGGCCAAGTGAATGATGCATCTTTTACTTGGAGCTCTTCAGCCTTTGTCATAGTTCCCAGACCTTTTTTCCTTGTGGGCCTCCAGGAGGTGATCAATTACATGTGCACAGTGCTGGGATGGGAGTCAGAGCTGGCTCAGAGCAGGTTCACCAGGCCACTATAGCAAGGAAGTCCTTAGGAAATCTAGGACTGCCAGCTTCCCTCATGTCAGATAGAAAAAAGCCAGGAAAACAGGGGTTTTAGTTTCAAAACTTGGACAAACCTGATGCCCTAAGGGAAAGGTTAAGGTCAGAGGGGGCTTCCAGAGTCCATGAATGTCACCCGTCAGCAGACGGACACCAGGAACACTTGGGCAAAACAGCAGAGAAAAGGACAGTGGTCAGGGAAGTGGCATGTTTCGATGCAGGCCAGAGTTCAAGGCTCTGGGGCTGGCCTCATAGGAGGCTTCTTCCATGGAGCTTGACACCAGAGCTGCCCCCGTGTGAAATGCAAAGGCGTGCTTAGCACTAGGAGGGAAACGTGAGTTAAGAAAATTGTTGATCATGTTTGCCTTCCCTGGGGAAACACTCAGGCGGTAAAATGACATCCACATGTTCCTGTCGGATGCAGCGGCTTAGGCAATGAGTTCGCGCTGGGAGACTGTCCGGGCCCATCCCTCTCTGCTTTGTGAACCCACCACACCAGCGCCTGTCTGCTGCGCTATTTATTTGACTTCTGTCTTCCCAAACTTAGCTGCCTGTGTTCATGCCAGAGGTGCAAAGGCTGCCAGCCTGTGCTGCTGACAGATGCTTTCAGATTGTAGAGCTCAGAGAAAGGGAGCAGAAGCTGGAGGTAGCCAGGGCTGGCCAGCCTCCCAGGGGCCTTTCTATCATGTAAATCATAGCCAGACAGACAGCCCCGGAGCCGGAGCCAGGTGGCCTCGTCCCCTGTGGAGCACTGGGGGCAGTGATCTGTTGTTCCAGGTGTAAGTCTCGACACTGCGGAGAAGAGGATGTTATTAGAACAGTTCCTACTGCTTGTGGTGCTACTTTATCTAAGAGCTGAGAAAAACATTCCAATGAGATACCCATCACTAACTGGCTTACTCAGAAAAAAATGCATTAAAAAATATCAAAGTGGAGCTTTTATTTTTAAAAATTATATTTTACTTTAGACAAACATCACTTTTCTTCCTCCTCTTCTTTAGGTATAGATTTATTTTGTTTTATTTTAATTTTTTGCAAATGGAATCAGTTTTAGCTGGGGGTCAGGATCTGAAAGCCCCAAACCCCATACCGATGGTATAGTTAGGACCTTTGCATTTGATGGAAAAAAACATAGTATTTTCTGTCATCCACATGTGTTGTGAGTAGCAAGCTCTTTAACGTAAATGCAGAGGGAGGGAGAAATTCTCTTCTCAGACGGGGAAACTGAGGCAGAGACTGCCATGGGTGGTTTTTGCCAAGCTATACAAAATACTTAACGCAGGGCTACACGGAAGCTCCAGAAATCACTTTGTTTGCTTTGACACTGTTTCACCGTCTGGGCAATCATTTATTCTCCTTGAGCATTTATCAACCAGGGTGAGGTTCTTGGGAGGAGAAACCATCTAATGTTTCAATTCCCTTGGTGCCGCAGCTGTGCTGAGGAGGCCGTGACTGGGAACTGGAGTGCGCGCCTCTGTGTTTCTCTAGGGAGTAACATTCGACATTTAATTGAATCATGTATCTTGATAGGTGGATTAGGAACAGGATTCATTCCTTTAAAATGTGTATTTTGGCTAAACCACATACCTTGAATTGAGTGTGTGTGTCTTCCCCAAATTCATATATGGAATCTTAAATCCTCAATGTGGTGGTTCTTGGCACTGGGACCTTTGGAAGGAGATTAGATCTTGAGGGCACAGCCTTCACTAATGGGATTAAGGCTCTTGTCAGAAGGGACATGGGAGAGATGGTCTTTTTCCTCTCTACCATGTGGGGATACAAAGAGAAGGTGGCCACTTGCAAGCCAGGAAGACGGCCCTCACCAGACACCGTGTCTACTGGTGCCTTGACCTTGGACTTCCCAGCCTCCAGAGCTGTGAGAAATAATGTTTGTTGTTTAAGCCACCCAAGTCTGTAGTATTCTTGTTAAGGCAGCCCAGGCTGACTAAGACAACAAATCATTCACAACATGAATGATTTTGATCTTTCATGATGATCAAACATGATGAATGACCTTTTCCCATTCTTTAAGCTTCCCAGAATGCACATAAACAATGCTGTTATTAAAACTTAAAGGACTCTTGGAACCATAAGGACATGACCCAGCTAAAATAAACAGCAAATAAAGTAACACAGCTAAGGAAATACTTAGAAATGTAGCTTTAAATATTTATTTTAGTCAGTTTTAAATAATTGGTAGGGTATGAGATAGTTCACATTCAAGAGACATTTTACTTAGACAAAAATTGTTGAGAGAACGATGAGTAAAAACAAACAACATGTTGGTCTGTTTATTTTTCAGAGGGAAAATGGAATCAGGGCTGTTGACAATAAAACCTGATGAATCTAACTGCACTGCTTGTTTCTAGGCATTTCTGAATTACACACAATGATATGTAAATGGAGTAGCGACACTGGAAGAATAATGTTAAAGTAACACAAATTATTCTAGAGAACAGCAAATTTGCAGCAGTCATTCTTGTGCTCTTCTGAAACTGTCAGATGGATGCTTAAGCCCCTCAGTCCATTCCCACCTGGGGACTCTGGCATCCCAAACGCTGATCATTATTGGGACCAGTACATTACTGGGTACTCTCTCGCACGTACTTTGCCCACTGTCTTGACTGGTGCTGCTTCCACTGGGCTCAGGGTCATTTCCCTCCTAGGTGCCATTTCTAACTCGTGGTTCTGGCATTCTTCCCTCCAGTTCTGAGGTCAAGTTTTACTGCTTCTCGTTTATATCTCAATCGAGCTATATTACAAGCTAAATGGGGCAACACCTGCTTAGAACCAAAACAGACAGAGGACACAAAGGAGGCATCATTGGTGGGCTGTATTAAAGAGAAAACAAGTGAACAACTGATGTCAAGGTTGATTTATCTCCACTTTTGGCATCTCCTGTAGCTTTAAAATGAAGGGACAGGCTCAGTGGCTCACGCCTGTAATTCTAGCACTTGGGGAGGCTGAGGCGGGTGGATCACTTGAGCTCAGAAGTTTGAGGCCAGCCTGGGCAACAGGGAAAAACCCTGTCTCTACAAAAAATTTAAAAAGAAAAATTATTTGGGTGTAGTGCTGTGCACCTGTAGTCCCAGTGACCCAGGAAGCTGAGGTGGGAGGATCACCTGAGCCCAGGAGGCTGAGGCTACAGGCAGCTGTGATCATGCCACTGCACTCCAGCCTGGGTGATCAAGTGAAACTCTGTCTCAAAAAAATAAAATGGAGAAGCTGGAGTAGGTAACCTCTACAATCCTGTAATCTTTACCTTCTGCCTTCAGAAAAAGATGCTTCCTGAGCTGCCACAGATAAACGCAAAATGATTCATTCAGTGACTCCAGTATGTATCCAGTTCCAGTGTGCCAGGCCCAGGGGCTCCAAGGAAAACAAAGTTCATGACTCTATAGAATCCGTAGTTTACAACAGGATATTGAAAGAATGCCCAGCCTGGACAACATAGGGAGACCCCATCTCTACAGAAATTTAAAACATAAGCCGGGCATGGTGATGTGCACTTGTGGTCCTAGCCTCTTGGGAGGCTGAGGTGAGAGGATTGCTTGAGCCCAGGAGGTTGAGGCTGCAGTGAGCTGAGGTTGCACCACTGCACTCCAGCCTGGGCAACAGAGTGAAACTCTCTCTTAAAAATAAATACCGAAATAAGAAAGAATGCAGATAGAAATAGTGTGGTCAATACTGTAAGAAAACTTGCCGAAGGCTGAGCTCAGAGGAGGGACAACTGTGAAGGTGGGAAGGGGGTCAGGAAACCGCTCCAAAGATGGAGAGTTCCATCAGCTAGCTGCAAGGAAGAGGAGCCTGGACAGAGGCAGCCACGTTTGTTTCTCACCACAGGAATATGATGTCAGGCAGCCAGGAACTTCTCCCACATTGAGGCAATCTTCTTCTTCCGTAGTTTCAGACAGAGCACCGGTGAGCTGGTGGCCTCTGAGAGCACACCATAGAAAACGCTTCGTGGAACCCTTGCCCCAAGCCAGATGGGTCTCCAGCATGGCATCCATGTCCCCTCTGCCTCTCCTGAGATGCGGAGAGTGCCTGGGGACAGTCAGAGAACTCTGCCACGGTCATTCCACCTCCACCCACAGGGCCCCTGCCAGCGTTAGGAGGAACTGATCATTTTTCTCTCTATGCACTATCTTGATGGCCACTCCATTTCCCTTCAGCTGCCTATGCCACCGAACCCCATAGCTTCCCTCTGTGGCGCTGCCTCCTGTTTTACTGAGAAAACTGAGGCAGGAACTCCCTCTTTACTCTTTCTCCTATCACAGGGACCGTGTCTTCACGAGGCTCTATCATTTGGTATCCGCCTTCCTTCCAGGTACAGCTGCTCCCTCCACTCTGGATCCCATCTCTTCCCAGGTCCTCAGGTGGTTTTCTCATTTATTCCCTCTAGATTCTCGCTTTTCACCAGGTGCTTCTCTCTTGATTACAGATATGGTTCCAAAAATGTCCTCTAGTCTGAAACTATTGTCCCTTGCTTGGACTCCCTTGGGGCTTCTACATTCTCGTTTATTTCCTTGTTGGATTTGCTCTAGTGGTTGCTATGTGAGCCCTGATTATTTTTCCACCCTAGTCAGTTGCTTAAGTCATCAGATTCAGCTTCTGTCTTCACCCCATTAACAGAACCACATCTCAGATGTCACGCTG